CCAACACAATAGGGGTATTCTCGAAGTCTTGCACGATGCACGGATTGCACGAAATGCAAAAATACTATTCCAAATTTCGAAGAGTACGAGAACACCCCATTGCAAAGAGGTAGCATGCATGGGTCAAATACCTTTTACTCGCAGTAGTTGCGGAAGGCAAAGTAAATACTCTACGCGTCTTGCTATTGATCGGTAGTTTACGTACGCTTGCAGAAACTGGTTTATGCTTACTCACACTTGACCCGAACGATGAGAGTAAAGGAGGGAAAGTATTTGCGCGGCGATCGGATGTCTTGTTAGGCCCTTTAAATGGAATTGCGCAGGAGTTTAGTATATGTAACTATGTATGTTAGGGCGGGTCTAATTGTATGAGAGATTTTTTCGACTATGCGCATATAGTACCGAAGGATTGTACATATAATTCTAAGCAAATTTTCCGAAGAAACCATGGGTCTAAAATCAATTTGGAGTTCGCCTAATTGCGAAAATAGGTTTTTTAGGATTTTTCTCCCTTTTCGGTATGAGAAATCCATTTCTGCACCTCCACCAGAGGGCGCAACAGTGAACGTTTTTGTATTTTCTTTTAAACCTATTTTCGAAATTTGGCAATCTACAAATTAATTTTAAACTTGTGGTTTCTTCGGCAAATTTGCTAAGAACTACACATAGAAACCTGCTATGCTATACGCGCATAGTAAAAAACAAATTAACCCGCCCTAATGAATGTATGTATTTAAATAGAAGACCACATTTGCTAACATATAGTTTCATTTCGTTTTTCGCTGTCTAGTAGATTAGTTCGAAATGTCTTTGTCCGGGAAAGTTGTAATTGTGACTGGAGCTAGCTCGGGTATTGGTGCCACCACAGCAGAATCCTTTGCTCGTCATGGAGCTAAGGTAGCACTCGTCGGACGAAATGAAGCCAATTTAAAAGCCAGTGAAGCGGCCTGCAAAGCAGCCAACGACAAAGCTGAGTTACTGCTCATCATTGCTGACGTGACAGTGGATGCGGAGCGTATTATCAGCGAAACAGTGGGCAAATTCGGACAATTGGATGTGCTGGTGAATAACGCCGGCATAGGTGCCTTTGGCAGTATCTTGGACATTGCCGTCGATCAATTCGATGCGATTTTAAATACCAATTTGCGTTCAGTTTTTCTTTTGACTAAATTCGCCGCACCACATCTAATTAAAACGAAGGGTAACATTGTGAATGTCTCGAGTGTCGCCGGTCTGCGTGCATTCGCGGATTTCTCCGTTTACTGCACTTCAAAGGCGGCGCTTGATCAATTTACCAGATGCATTGCTCTCGACTTGGCACCGCATAATGTGCGCGTGAATGCGGTCAACCCTGCTGTGATAATAACGGATTTTTCCATACGTATGGGAGTGTCGAAGGAAGATTATGCCAAATATTTGGAGCAATGTAAATCGACGCACGCTCTGGGACGCGTAGGTTCTACAAAAGAGGTGGCTGATGCTATTATTTTCTTGGCTAGTGATACCGCCAGCTTCATAACGGGGACAACTTTGCCTGTCGATGGAGGGAAAACTTTGTTGTGTCCACGTTAAATGTAGTTTTAAACAAATTAAAATAAAAATAAAAATTATTTTTTTTGTAAATTTGCCAAAACATAATTTAAATTTGTTAAATTTGTTGAATTTCATAAAATATTTACGTATTGTTGTCTTTAATAAAGAAGGGCCATTGGCCATTTTTGTTTTTGAGAAATTTGGTTATAAACTGAAATATGTGTTCTTAATAAATTTCGCAACTAAATTCTTGATGTAGAAGCGGTTTTTAAAGTGTATATGGTTTTTAGTGTGGAACCTATTGATTTCTATACAAAGCTGGATTTTAAAAGAAAATGAGTGAGTGCCTTTCTGTACCAAGTAAATAATTTTAAACTCCCAATTTTGCATGGCGCATTGAAAGAGTGAAAGCTTTTTTTAAGATTCGTTTAACCCTTTTAGGACCAAGGGAAACATATTTCCAAAGAAGCTGTTTTTATCAAAAAATTTTAGGAAAAAATTAAATTTTCAAAGTAAGATTTTCTGTAAAAATTTTATTTTAAGAAAAAATAAATAAATTTTACGATAGAAATCAAATTTAGGAAAAACACTACTTTTTGGGAAAGATACATAGGTGTTAACCTAAATTAAAAAATTTACCAAATATCAGAAACTAAAATTTTGTAGTAATAAGGTTAAAAAGTAATATTTCATGATAAATATTTAAGGGAAACAAGTAGTTTTTAGGAAAAAATGGTTACAAGAAAAAATAAATTTTGCATTAAAAACATAATTTGAAAAGGAACAGTCCAGCGCCTTCGTCTTGGTCTGCAGGCTGTATCGGAGATACACCCGCTAAATTTAAACGTAGAATACGTGGTATGGTTAAGAGCATATCCAAGTCAAAAACGAAAGCACAAACTAAGAAAAAAATATCGATAACAAAAGCGATAATAAAATCGATAACAAAATCGATAAAAATATCGATAACAAAATCGTTAACTAAATCGATTACAAAATCGATAAAAAATCGATTACAAAATCTATCGAAAAATCGATTACAAAATCGATAACAAAATCGATTCCAAAGTCAATAACAAAATTGATAACAAAATCTATCAAAAAATCCATTACAAAATCGGTAATAAATTCGATAAAAAGATATCAACCAATACTTCCCATATACCAAACGAAAGGAAAACTCTTGAATTTTTGATTAAAGAAAACAAAAACAAAATCATTCGAGCGGTTTTCGAGCATTTTGGTAATGAAAAAAATTTGCAAATTTTTTCAAAAATTTTTTGCCTTAAAATGCTCAATATTTGTTAAATTTATATAAAATTTGTACCGATAATATTTCTACTGCTCCAAAGAACCTATATCCCGAAAATGAAAGTTATATATGCCAACAATAAGTTGCTAGAGCACTTTAAAGGCTCAAAATTGACCCCAAAATAAGGCAATGTTTACCGTTACCAGAAACCGAATTGGTTATTTACAAAAATGAATCTGTC